ATGAATAAAGCTCAATCAATGGATTGCTATGCTCTGACTTGGAAGGACTCACAGGCAACACGAGAGAGGCACAAAGCAAAGAGACGCCCACTTTAGTCTCCCACTGGCATCCCTTACTCAAGGGACAAAGGTTACTTCTTTCAAGTGGCTGTGCTATCAGTGAGGAAGAATGCCCAGAAACATGTGTTGGTAATCCTTGGCTGTGCAGAAGCAGAGCTCAAAGACACCTGGGACCCATAGATTGATTACCCATTGGCTCCTTTCTGTGCATGTTTAAGGTCCACAAGTTAAAAAGTCTTTGTTTTCAAGATGGTGCTAATGGGCAGTGCTGTGGACTTCCAGGAGATGTTTTGAGTTAAGCTCGTAAATAATCAGGATCGTGCTCCCAATGGGGATTGAGAGACACTGGCTACGAACTCTCGCTCCTAGCTCTACAATGAGCTCTTAGCTTCCTGTTACTCCCATCAGACAGCCCCGCTGCCCCCATCACAGGACCAAAGACAAGAGGGCCACCAGATCAAGGACTAGAGACACTAAAATGAAAGTAAGCTCTTTTTCTTAATAAATTAATTATCTCAGGAACTTTGTTATAATGACAACTGGCTAACAGTCTATTATCAAAAATGTCATCAAAATATGAAATTTAAAGACCTCAGCTTAGATTCCACCCCTACGTCTGTGGGAATGTTCCTTACAGTGCAGTTTTAACTATGAAACAGAATGTCCTCTCAGATATACAAACTTCTCCTTTACGTTGTTATGATAAGCAAATGAAAACACGGAGTGACACACACTGGGTAAGAGAAAGAACATGATCTCATCAATATGAGTTCCTGCCTCTTTCAGCTTGTCATGCCTGCTGATGCTTCTTGTGGTCACAATTTCTATAGAGTCTCAAAGCATAAATAGATGGAAATATATCTCAAATCCAATAAACTAATTTCTCTATCAGAGATTACTGTGTGAGGTATGCAGAAAAAAATATGCTTAACTAGGAACCCTGAAGACCACTGGAAAAATTAAAATTGACAGCCTTCTTAGGAGTCTCAAAAAGTAGGACGAAAACAGAAAGCTGGGTGCTATCAACTGGAGCCTCACACTGTCCTGTGAAAGTTCTTCTAAGTCATGAAAGACTTGTTGTAAATCAGATGCCCTGTACAGGTAGATTAAATCATTCAGCCTCTCCCATGACAGAGATCTAAAGATATGCTAATTACTTTAAATAATAACCTAGAGTCCAGAAGAAAAGCACAAATCTCCTTAAGTATTCACTTTCTTAGTCTGTTCTGTGGGAATGAGATGCATTCAGAAGAACTCCGTCTCTCTCCTCTCCTCTCCTCTTCTCTCTCTCTCTCTCTCTCTCTCTCTCTCTCTCTCTCTCTCTCTCTCTCTCTCTCGTGTGTGTATATGTGTATTTGGAGGAAGTAAAAGTGAGAGAAACTAGAATTTTCTTCACCTCCTGATTAAGAAGAGAGGAGGAATTTGTTTTGCTTTGAGGTCCAGAATCTCTACAATCTTTAATTAGAAGGTTGAACTTACCTCTGTAAGTTTATTAATCTCTAGAGGACTGTGGATTGCTAAGGGGATGCCCTAAAAACGAAAAGTTCAAAATCCATACTTGCCTAATTTTTGTAATTTTTGGTGATCAGGAACAGCATGCTCATGTAAAGAAAGCACTGAAGCTCATTGTGTAGTTAGCTTCTTGAAACCAGGATTCTAACATAGGTGTCATTTATATGCCGTATTTAAAATTTTGCCTAGTCTATATTCTTCAGAAATGTAAAGTTTATAAAGTTAATGGTAGCATAGTAATATTGGCATTTTGCTTACTACATAGAGAGGGCTTTTAAATATTTGAGCAGAAAGGAACAGAACTCAAGGGACAGGTGGGCTGGATGTGATCTAGTGGAAGGGTCTAAGAATCTAATTCAAAAATAAGAACGTGAGAAATGAAATTAGAGCAAGAAAGTCACACAGTCAAGAGTACAAAGACCAATTTCATACATCACATGCTTAATCATCAAATTACTGTCTAGCCAGGTTATTACACCTGTCTGTGCTGTAGAGTTACATGGAGAGAATCAAAGAAAACAATGCCTGGGCTTTGCCCATGCTTCTTCAATTGAGCTCTGGAGAGGGTATGGTAAGTAAGTCAGAAGAATGACCTCAAAGACGGAAGAGGAGTGAGAGTGGGGTTGAAGGTAGGTGTGAGGCTGAGTTCTGGCATTTTATATTATATAAAGCTTTACATCATTTGGGTGAAAACAAGGTTAGTAGAAGTGGATCAGTCTTTGAGAACCATAGCTATATCTAGGATAGCATCATTGGCAAATGCAGTTCTACCATTAAAGGTAATATGCAGGGACAATCTCTTGTGTACTGTATGGAAGCATCACCTGTCAACAGAAAGCTGATTGGCTAATGAGCTGAAGCAGGAACTAGGAGGTTGGGGTTCTGGTAGGAGAGAGGGACTCTGAGATAGAGTCTGGTGCAGGAAGAGATTCACCTTGAACTCTGAGGAGACAGAGCACAAAACTCAGAAGAGGTAACCAGCCATGTGGTACTATAGAAAGGAATAAATGGGTTAACTAAGTAATGAGCTAGTCAGGGAACAAGCCCAAGCTTCTGGCCTAGGCATTTATACATATATAATTAAGTATCAGAGTTGTTATTTTGAGAACTGGGGCACAGGTGAAAAAGCTCACGAATACAGTAATGTGTAAATCAAGTGAGTACCGGATTATATATGATTTCCTCTTTTCTATCACCTGTGATGTGCAGCACACTGAGACTGGAAACACTGTTCTAGATCACAAAACTAAGAGCCATTGCGAGGCTGAAAGGTTTAAGAAAAGGTGTTTTAAAACAAAGACTGTTCTTGACAAACCAAGAAAATAACAGCATGACAGAAGAGGAGCACATATTTAGGAATGCACGGGGAAACTGGAAGCAGGGCATATTTAAGGGAGGACTCAGGGGAAATGAGTCTCTATTTGAGTTCTACTGTGTTTTCATTAAGGAAAAATAGAATGTCAAAAGTCTAGGACCCTATAACTCTCAACTCAATAAAAGATTACTCACGTTGATTCAAGCTACACTTAAAATGTCAGTGTCATTGTTTGTAAGCCGTGATGTATTCTTGGCTGTGCATATTTGATTCCAAGAATCCTGAGGGGGAATTCTAGGTTATTTAGCCAACCTTATTCCACTCTTGTGCTTGCTAGAGAAAACTGGGGCTAAAGGAGCTGATGTTGATGACAAAACACATTCGTACAGAACCTTTGTGAACAATGTCAGGAGGTAAGAGCAAGTCCCAGGATGATTGCTGGTGCCACTGAAGCTTAATGCTGGGTGCTAGTGCCTCCTGGAGCAACCCCAAGCCTGTTTACCTGAGTGAGTGGTTTCTGGCAAGATCAGGTTGACGCTCTTGCAGAATTTCAAGGATGTTGGGTTGACGCAAGAAAGCAACAATTTTGTCATTGTAGGCTGAAAAAAAGTAAAAGAAACATTTTTTTTTAAATCTACTGCTACTTCTACAATGATCTATTGAAATTCAGACTTTAAAAAGTATGTTTTTGGCTAATACTTCCTTCACTCTAGTCTTCAGTTGGAGCTGTTCTGCAACTGTGTCCACAGATGCCTGTGTTCCATTTCGTCTAAGCTGTTATGTGATTATCTGGGTTACACCTGATCCATGTCACGTACTTTATCAACCCCTCTGACAAACCATATTTACTTTCAAATGACGAGATTAATATACCAACAAAATTAACTATTTTAAATTTATCCAAATCAATCTCAAAGCCAGGTATATAGTACAGGTCTATAATCCCAGCATATGTGAGACTAAAGCAGGAGGACTGAATTTGAGGTCAACCTGGGCTACATTGTTAAGACTCTATCTCAAAAACCAAACCAAACCAAACCAAACCAAACCAAACCAAACCAAACCAAACCAACCCTACTACCACCAACAAAATTCCAACAGCAGACAATTGCATAGAAATGACAACCATAAAAAATGACGAACCATCTTCTGAATGAATATTAGCCAGAGAGGTAAAGAGATAGAACCAGAGAACTCCCAAAACAATAGTGACAGCTACAGCCACAGTGATAATGATAAACTATTCTATAACTCTATGTGGAAGTAAATATCACATGCAAACAGCTCCATTCCAAACCCACTGTATGAACAATTGCAACAGAAATCAACTATAGGCAAACCATATATTTTTAAACAATCTACAACCTACTTACCATGGCTATAGAAATGTCAAAATTGCCAGGCGGTGGTGGCGCACGCCTTTAATCTCAGCACTTGGGAGGCAGAGGCAGGCAGATTTCTGAGTTCGAGGCCAGCCTGGTCTACAGAGTGAATTCCAGGATAGCCAGGGCTACACAGAGAAACCCTGTCTTGAAAAACCAAAAAAAAAAAAAAAGTCAAAATTGTTCATTAATATTTATTAGGGGTACCATTATTACCTCTCTGCCAGGAAAATGAATCATTTTGCTTAGTTATATGACTAATAATCAGAAATAAGTAATAAATATAATTCAGAGAACCAAGGACAGAGTGTCTGAATTTACAAACAGCAGAGAGCCAGTAGTTCTATAGGTAGCCACACCAGAAACTTTATGCTGTCTGTACATATATATGTGAAAAGTTTTTAAATGCTATCTGCTAAAACGGAATTCCAATGTCAACTCCAAGGATCCCTAAATGAACATTTACTGTCAGGTGAACTGAAGATACTTTTGTAATGGAATTGTTTTTATATTGCACCCAAAATCAGAAATGAGGTACTACTTAAGCAATATTTTTATAGCTCTTGAAAGTTATACATGGAGTATTTATAAACACATTACATATTAATAATGACATTATCAAATGCAGACAGACATCAATCCTAGGTTTCTTATCTGTTGGTTGTGACACTTACTTAGGTCACGGGGCATTACAGTATACTTTATGACAAAGGGTTTTTGTTGTTTGTTTCTAGGGTAGACTGCAACTGCACCCCCCTACCCTGGCACCAAAAATTGTGTTGTCAAGTTTGCCACATTTGGGGAAACCACAGGGTAGGCTCATCTGCAGTACAGTGGGGTGCCTTGCCCTGAGAAGACCATCTTCATGCACATGGTATCTCCCTAACAGGAAAGTATCTTTGTTTTTCAATGAGCTTTTTAAAGCAAAAACAAAGAGAAAGCTGCTCTGATTTAAGATGGGTGTGGGACTGCATAAGGGTATCCTGGGTCATTGTTGAGCAGGTACCTAGAACCCCGAGATTCTCCGTGGAATTCTGCGTGAGAACCGGCAGGAGTTCGGTCCCTCCCATCATCCAAGATCCTGAAAAGCAGTCACATCACATAGGCCAGGCTATAGGCCTCAGGCCCTAGAGATTTACATACTAATGAAGGCCAGAGGGCAGAGCAAATTAAACATGCCTCCCCCAGATCCTCCCCCAATCCTCCCCCTTTCTCCCTCCCTATATAACTCGGGACTGCCCTGAGTTTTGGGGGGTACGCCTAGATCCATCTATTATCCGCCATGACAATAAACCTTTTTGGAACCAAGGACTTCCTCGTGTTACTGGGGCCTGCCGCCGCCAAGGCCCTCAGGCCACTGGAACCATAGGACCTCTTCTCTAATGTGGCGGCCTTTTTAAATTTTCCCCACAGATGGGGAAGTGAATCTCTCTCTCAGCAGTGTGTCCATTCTGCAAACCTTAAGGGCTCCAGGTTTGAGACCATGAATATACATTAGCTTCATCATGTCAATGACTGTTCAGAATGGTTTTCAGACCTGTAAGCTCACGACCATTTATTTCAGCTTACTATTCTGGAGATTGTTGTTACCTTCTATTTGTTATAAGTCCTTAAGAATGTTGTAGCCTTGCTTGATTAGTGTATGCGGCTCCCATGGATTCACATACCACTTAAATTCTATCTCAGGGTGCAATGCATTCTAATTACATGTTTGTTCAAATGCTTAATTTACAATGATTGCAGATTATCTCATTAGATTTTTTTTCCTTTAACAATCCAACACTTGCTAAGTAGGACTACAGGCTTTTATAAGGCAGAAGCTCTCTGTGACTCAATATTTCTTAAAGATAATACAGTAGTTTTATGATTCAAGGTAAAAAGTAGAAGGCAGGCCACAGGCACATATCAGCATAGATGTATTCTATACAATAATATGATAATACAGATGAAGATTTGTAGAAAGAGCTACATACCCACTGGAACCATGTCCTGGTACTGTGGCCTGCTGACTGTATTGAATGTGCTGGACGGCCTGGGAAGAACTGGTGGTCCTGCATGCCGAGAGTCTTCTCCTACCTGGAATGCAAGCAACAGTCATGTCTGCACCATGGGGTAGAGGACTTGGCATTGGCACCTCAAACTGTGTTGCTCGAAACACTTATCATGGAAAATGACCAACTGATCAGAACAGGTGCTAGCTGTGGGGCTGACATCAGGCCCTTGAAAGGTCTGATCTTAAGGCTTGGTGCTGGTGGGGGTGTTGACACAGTCCTGTCCTTGATAGAAGCTTGGTCAGTGAGTACATGTGGCTCAGTGGTTCAATCTGTAATTACCAAGGCTGCAGAAGCAAAATAGTAGACTGGTTCGTCAGGAATAACTTCTGCACAGACAGAAACCTAACCTGCCATAATACAATCAATGGGAACAGCTGGTTGATACAATGTGTATCGGTGCTGTGCCAGGATAGTCCTTCCTTTATTTAGATAGACAGATGAGGGAATTCCCTGCCTCAGCAGAAGCGCTGAGCTGCAGTAATCTTCCTGTGGGGTTGTGCATTAGCATAGTATCTCCTCAGAAGCAATTTTATATGCCCATTAGAGGACCTGGTGTAACAGCTCTTTCTGGTTTGAGCCTCCCACACTAGACAGCTAACAGTAGCAGGTGTGTAAGATCTAAAAATGGTCACCCTAGCCTGAATTATTTATTGTACTTATTATAGATTTAGAAAGCCCTACAAATAGATAACTACTCATTTGTGTTCTCTCAGGAAACTCTAACATTGCTTTAGCGTTTATTCTAGCATTTTCTCTTGTATTCCAGAAGTCTTTTACAACAACTATCATGGCCATGAGAAGAAAGAGGACAGAAGGTACCACTGGATTTATTAATTGCTACTTCTCTTTTTGTTTTGTTTTGTTTTGTTTTTTCGAGACAGGGTTTCTCTGTGTAGTCCTGGCTGTCCTGGAACTCACTCTGTAGACCAGGCTAGCCTCGAACTCAGAAATCCGCCTGCCTCTGCCTCCCAAGTGCTGGGATTAAAGGCGTACGCCACCACCGCCCGGCTAATTGCTACTTCTCAAATGGAGCTTCTATCTCCTCCTGCTGAAATCTTCATAGGCATATCATTATATTGCACTAGCAATATACTAACAAATTAAAAATATAACAAATAGTACTTTTTTTGAGGCGCTTTCTAAAGCTCTTCCCAATGGAAACAGCCTTTCTGTCCTCTTGCTTATTCTTCTCGAATGTTCTCATTCAAAGGATAGTTCAAACAGACCCCTCATCCATGAAACCTTCCCTTTCCTTCAAGCTGAAGTTAAGTCCTGTCCTCTGATCTCCTGTGGTGCTTGGTGTATACTTCAAAACCAGTTGTTATTATTAACAGGTTTATTATTTGTTTCCTATGCCTTAATACAGATGGAAACAATAAAAAAGAAAGTCTGTATTACTATCTAAAAGAGTTATAAAACTACAGCTTTCTGTCTCAGCTACTAAAAAAGGTTTTTTAAATGTTATTGTAGGTGGCATTTCTGGGTGCCATGGTGTGCATGTGTAGGTAGGTCAGAGGGCAAATCTGTGGAGTAAATTCTCTCCTTCTATTCTTCTCTGGGTTCCAGGGATCAAAGTCAGTTTGTCAACATGTGTAGCCAGGATTTTATACAGCCCTCCTCTGCTCCAGCATCCTTGCTGGCCCTTTCAAAGTTTATCAAGGTCTTTTACTCTTGTTTTTATTCATTTAAAATATAGTTTTAAATTGGCTTTCCATGTAAAGAACATGGGAAATAAGTTGTTACTTATTTGTGTTTGTTATACTCCCAACCACATGACAGCGGGTGTTTGTTGCCACAGCAGAGATATCAGCTTGTTTACTGATTGTAGACATTGCTGAACAAAGCTAGGATGGTAACAGACTCATTACATAACCAGAAGTCTTTTCTGCCTGCTTCTAATGAGTTATTGGGTTTGAGGAACACAGCCAGTCATTCTCTATACACCTCCAGGCTGGGAACTTTACCATCTCAATCCACCAGTCTGTATGATTTCCTGTATGTCAACATTTCCTAGAACAGCCACAGGTCTTCTTAAAGATCTCACTTCTTAAAACCAGACCACAAGACAGTGGTCAATTCCTCCCAGAAATATATGTAATATTTCCAGCTGTGCCCACTGCACTCTCAAGTGCTGCACCCTAAAGGGGATTCTTTGAGAAAGGCTGGACAATACTGTGGCTGCATGCTGCGTTACTCCATTTCACTGTTCAGCTCCTAGCAACAGAAGAGAGATTTTTCATTAAGTTGCTAATTTACTCTTGGGAGGCCCTCTTCCATTACTGGGTACCCCTAGACCATGAAAGTAATTCAAAGTATTGAGCCAGATGTTCTAAAAGTTTAAGTCTAACTATTAATCTTGTGTATGTTTTCCAAGAAACACTGTCCTGACTGAACAGAAAAGCCACCTTCAGCTTGTGATGTCACCATAAAGTAAACAGTTAAAGTGCACTGTCCATGTGATAAAGCCATGCAGTGTCCTAATTATACTATATATCCACACAAGGTCCAAGGGTGAGAGTTCAGTTGTATCTGGTAAGATGAATGCTGTTAGTGTCTTCCAGCTCACCAGTAATGGTTTACAGGACAGCAAGATAAAGATTTATTGGCTACTCATAAAACATAAATATTTTCATGCATACCTCACCCTGCATTAGACTTATATATCATTTTTATATGAGGTTCTCATGTATATTCTTCTATAAACAGTGAACACATGATATGTTAAGCAGAATGCACATTAGGGGGAAATTCCATGAGTGGAATTTTGATGAATTGAATCCAATTATTTATTGCATTCATAATTTTTTCTTATAAGAAAGCCTTCAGAATATTTGACCTACAGTATGATATTGGAAATACGATATGCATTTAGAAATGGCAGGCAGGAAAAGAATCTTAATTCCATTTGTCTCAGGGAATTTTTAGAAGCCACAGTAAGCACATAAGGCATAAACTTATGTTATGGAGAAGAAAATTCAACCACAAACAGTCCTTTTATGTATTTAAGTTGTTCAAAGAAAAGGGAAACAAGAAGAGATTTTTGTTTTGGGCCAGGGTATTGGAGAGCCCTCGTGTGGCTACCATGAATCACTGCAAACTGCCAAAGTAGATTGTAGTGTGGTATTCAGTCACACTTAAGACCATCTTCTCTGGGCAATCAGCATACACAATACATCAGTTCTGCCGAATACATTCTAATTTTAGATGATTCCAGCAGGACCCCACAATTCTATAGATTCACCCTCTGGTGAATATTTCAATAGCATCCAGAAAACTTCATTTAAGAAATTATTCTCTGTAGTTGACAAAACTTTAGCCCACTAAAAACTCTTTTTTCTTTTCTTTTTTTCTTTTTTTTTTAAATGAGACTATCCTTGGGTATCTAAAGGGATTATTATCTTCTGTGAGCATTTTGCATATTAACAATTGTCTCTGAGTTAAATATGAAACTTTATTCTTCAATCTTTTATTATATACTCCCAACTATTAAATTTGCAATTGAGTCTAGAGGTATTTTTGTTAACATTCTAAAACTTTTTAAGCATCTGAATGATACACTAAAACTAAATTAAACCAAAAAAAAAAGAACTCCCCCCAAAAAGAATCAAGCAAACAACAAAAAGGCAACCCAATTTCACAAAGCACCGTATCCTGTCTACTCTCAATCAACTGGTCAGTTCCTAAAGGGCCAGAACTCACCTCACCCGCGCTGTGGCTGCGTTGCCTTGTCAGGTGTTGTCGATGAACCAGCGCACTTGTGGGCCTACTGCTCTGAAGTGGGAGCCGAGGATCAATGAACGTGGTGGTCCGGGAGTTGTGGTCGACAAAAAATGCCTAGGATAC